AAATGCTATTTCTGAGTCTGGGCCTGCTGGTGAATGTATGTTGGAAGAAGATTCCCCCATCTTGGGCCCTTGGAATAAATTCACTGATGTTGGGCTTGAGATAAATGTAATTTCTGATTCTGGGCCTGCAAACTCCCTATATTCCCCCTTCCTTGGTTGGGCCTAAACCTAAGATATCTAAGACCCAAGAGGAATTCATCCCTGAATCTGCCCCTATTATCTGCAACCACGAGGAAGGATGTGATGAGATCGATGCTGGCTCAGGGCAGGTTGAAGAAGAACAGATGGAGGAATGGATTTTTCAAGCCAAATTCGATACTTCGAAGATTAGGAAAAGGAGGATAAAGAAAATGAAAAAAATAAAAAGCCCTTGCAATTGTTATCGGAGGAAAGTGGGATTTTTTGTAAACACGAGACTTCGGATGGTATGTTAGGGGAAAGCTTTGTGGGTGATAGAAATTCGCAAGACTCCTCAGACTCGGATTTGATGATCAGAAACTCTAATCGACGTATAAGAGCTGCTTCTTCTTTACCAGGTATTTCGGAATCTCATACTCTTTCGGGTGATAGTCCAAGTCAGGAAATTAGCAATTTGGTTAAGGTGGGAAAGGAAATTGGCATTAATTTTGAGAGTAATTTGGATATATTAGAGAGTATAGTTGGTAATGGGGAGGGTAACGATTTATGTTAAAAATTCTTTCATGGAATGTGAATGGGATGGGAAAGGAGTCTAAAAGGAGATGGGTCAAGAAAGCGAGGCAGGAGAATAAAATTAGTTTTCTCTGTCTTCAAGAATCGAAAATGGTTATCCAGYAGGACTGGCAGGTTGCTTCGGTTTGGGGTGGACCGCAATTCCAGTTTGCTGCTATTGACTCGGTTGGTCACTCGTCAGGTTTGATTACGATCTGGAATGACAGTTTGTTCCAGGCTCAGTGCGTGGAAAAAAAGGAGGGTTTTATTGCGGTTATGGGTTCATGGCTTGCCTCGAAGTTAACGATGGGGGTGATAAATGTCTATGCACCACAAGATTCCAAAAGGAAAAGACTGCTTTGGGCGAAATTGCTAGGAACGTTAAAGAAGTATTCTGGTGTTGCTTGGGTTATATGTGTGGGGATTTCAATGAAGTCCGAACAGCTGACGAACGGAAGGGATCTAATTTTGATCAAATGGGGGCAAAGTTCTTTAATGACTTCATTACTTCAGCAGGACTCTCAAATATTCCTCTTGGTGGGCGCATATATACTTGGATGAACCGTGAATGCTCCAAGCTCAGTAAGTTGGATCGGTTCCTGGTAAACATGGAGTTTGTCAATGCTTGGCCGATGGTGAACTCAATGGCTCTGCCTAGAGTTTTTTCAGATCATTACCCGATCATCTTGGACTCGTGGAGTAAAGAAGGTGGTCCTACTCCGTTCAAAATTTTTAACTCGTGGCTTTCAAATCAAGAGTTGGCAGCATTGGTCGAAGATTGTTGGGACAAGCCTTGTTTGGAATTCAAGGTGTTTTCGCGGGTGGAGCGGTTATCCAGAAAGCTTCGGTATCTCAAAAGGTGTATCAAAGAGTGGAGGAAAAGAGCTTCCAGGGATATTAAAGCAGATTGTGAGTTACTCAAGCAGAAAATCGCTGCGATTGATCTTCTTGCGGAATCGGGCTCTATTGACATGAGTACAGTGAATGAAAGAGCGAATCTTTTGGTCCAGCTGAATGATTTAGTCGCCAACCAGGTCAGTGATCTTAAGCAAAAAGCTAAATCGAGGTGGACCGCAATGGGAGATGAGAACACGAGTTTTTTTTTCATGGTCTTTTGAATAGTAGACGCAAAAGCTCTCGGATTCACGGGTTGAACATCAATAGTAGGTGGATCTCTTGTACGGAGAAAATAAAAGAAGCAGCTCATGATTTCTTCAAAAACAAGTTCTCAGATCGATACCCGTATAGGCCTACTATTAGCAGCTCAMTCTTTAAAAAAAATTCGGACTCTCAAAGGGACTGGCTGGAAGCACCTTTCACGGAGGAAGAGATTAAAAGTGCGGTTTGGAGTTGCGGTAGCAATAAGGCCCCAGGTCCGGATGGGTTCACCTTCGAGTTGATTCGTTTTTTTTGGAAGAAGCTGGGGAAGGACTTTATGGAGGCGGTCAAATTCTTCGAAGAAACCTCTATAATAAACCCGGGTAGCAATTCCTCCTTTATCTCCCTTGTGCCGAAGATAAGAGACCCTCTTTCCCTTGCTGATTATCGGCCAATAAATTTAATTGGGTGTGTGAGCAAAGTGATATCGAAAGTCCTCGCGGGAAGGCTGAAGGGTGTCATTGATTCGGTTGTTAGCAGCACTCAGACGACTTTTATCAAGGGTCGTAGTATTCTGGATGGTCCGATGATGGTGAATGAGCTAATCGCTTGTGTCAAGAGGATGCATAAAAAACTGCTTATCTTTAAAGTTGACTTCGCCAAAGCTTTTGATTCCCTCAACTGGAATTACCTAGACGATGTTCTATTGCAGATGGGATTTGGCGATAAATGGAGAGCTTGGATGAAAGGTTGTGTTCGTASGGCTAAAAGTTCGGTCCTCATTAACGGCTCACCAAGAAGGAGTTCAATATGGGCAGAGGCGTTAGACAAAGAGATCCATTAGCTCCTTTTTTATTCATTCTCGCGGCTGAGGGACTAAATGTCATTATGAAGGAAGCACAACGGAAGGCTCTTTTTAAAGGGGTTCACTGGGCGACTCAAGAGGAAGATGTGTCAATCTTGCAATATGCGGACGATGCTATTTTTATAGGAGAATGGGCTGCGGTTAACGCAAAAAATTTGATTAGCATCCTTAAATGCTTTGAGGTATGTTCGGGTCTTAAAATTAACTTGAGTAAAAGTCGTCTTACGGGTGTTGCGGTTAGTAAGGAAGAGATATCCAGAATGGCCCGTTGGCTTAAATGCAAGGAGGAAACGATTCCATTTTTTTATTTGGGTCTCCCAGTTGGTGGTAATATGTCGTCCATGGCAAGCTGGCAGCCCATCATTGAGAAGTTTAAGACGCGTCTATCGGCCTGGAAAGCTAGGAATTTGTCCATAGGTGGAAGGTTATGCTTATGTAAATCTGTTTTGGGCAGTCTGGGAACGTACTACTTCTCGTTGTTCAAAGCTCCCAATAAGGTGATCAGCACTCTAGAAAGTATTAGACGACGTTTTTTCTGGGGTGGAACGGAAGAGGGAAAAAAATTAACTGGGTGGCGTGGGAACGGGTTCTTAGTGACAAGAAGAGTGGTGGGTTGGGCATTAGGAGTTTACGAGCCTTAAATCTTGCAATGCTCGCCAAATGGTGGTGGAGAGAGCGTACGCAAGTACAGGCAACTTGGAACGCGGTTGTGAGTCTCTGTAATTCGTCGCAATTCGTATCTAGTAATAGCAGAGGCAGAAGAACTGTTTGGAGCAATATAAAAAGCATCGAAACGGACCTGGGTGATATCGGGATCAACATTAATAGTCTTATGATCAACACGCTGGATAGGAGTGGATGGTCTTGGTTGCTGGAGGCAAACAATATATTCTCTGTTAGATCTCTTAGGAGATTGATTGACTGTGTTATGYTTCCTTCTATGGAACAGGAAACTGAATGGCTTAAGTGGATACCCAACAAAGCTAATATTCACTTATGGAGAACGCTCAACAATCAGTTAGCGACCAGGGATAATCTTGTGAAACGGGGAGTGACTTGCAGCTCTGATGAGTGCCCGATATGCTTGGTAACGATGGAGAACCTGGATCATGTATTTGCGACTTGTTCTACGGCAAAAGTCATTAACGCGCATATGGCTTCCTGGGTGAACTGGTGGCCGGCGACTGAGAATTCGGTTCGGGACATGTGGTCGGTGGTCTGCGAGTATGGAGATAGTTGTAGAAGAGAGGTGGGCAAGGTGATTATGGCAGCTTATTTTTGGACTGTTTGGACTCAAAGGAATCACAAGACGTTTAGGGGCAAAAACAAGTCTGACAAGGAAGCTTGTAGTGATATTCAGATCACTGTGTATGAGTGGATTAGATGTAGAGCGAGGATTAGCAAGTCTTTTAGTTGGGAGTGTTGGACTTGTAACCCGATTGACGCCATGAACTCTCTTTGTAACTAGCTTCTCGCTAAGCTTCCCTCTTTTTAATATACTGTCTTTTCGCTGTTCAAATAAAAAACTTCATTATTGTATATAAATTAAATTATAAAAAAATTGATTTAAAAAATTACACAAAAAAATGAGAAATTTCAAATAGTTAATTTGATACTAATATCGATA